CTGTCTGCCTTATTGAAAAGTGGGTTATTGAACCCGAAGTTTGTTGCTTCGGCCCTGGAAGACTGCAGAGAGTCATCCCCTGATTTCCTCGACTACGGTCTGGAAGCCGACAGGAACGTTTAACAATCTGATGTTGGATAGATGGATGGACAGTACCTGACAGTCTGATCAGAGAGCCATCCAGCATCACACTGGTGGTATCCGTCATCGTAGGCCGCCTGCAGCTGGGCGGGCGTGGCGATGGTGGCGCTGTTCTGGAGGCAGGCGGCCTTCGCCTTCTCGTATGTCAGGGTGTAGCGGGTGGTGATGGCCCGGTAGTGGAACACAATACCTGTAGGACACGGAAAGTGAGTGAAGAGAGAACACTTTGAAATCAATATTCCAATTTGATAAGCTCTTTTCTATGAGCTTTATCAGACAGTGGGCTTGTTAAGACCGTCATGTGGTATACAAATTGGTTTACAGAGGTTTCTCAAGAGGTTTAATCCTGCAGAATTTGATAAGGTCTTGATATTCTCCTCTTCTGACAGAAGTTTTTTCCCAGTGGACATGTATAAGAGCATAGTTGTCGAGTAATGTATAAAAAAGTTTGGGCAATACTTGGGTTTTGCTGCAAAAAATGTGTCTCAAAGGATGAATAGGAAGGTCAATCTTGCCAATTCAAAATATAAGAACAACACATAGTCCTAAAAATAAATATAGGTACAAATCCATTTATGATGTAACAAAAAAGCTTCCCTGTTATGTTTAGTTTGCTGTTTTTCACTCATCATGTCAATATTCAGGTCCTATGGTTGCCTTCACTAGGCTGTTAGTACTATAGTGAGGCCACACCTGGTTTTCAGGTGGTTTTGATGTTGGCTTTTAACTGTTTTGCCACTATATATTTAATAATATGTCCTTCCTTGCTGTTACATGTTCTAATATTGAGTGATTAGATGGCCTTCCTCCTGTCAGCCCAACACATGCTTGATCTACAGTTGAGTATACAATGCAACCAGTCTTCTCTTTTCATGTTGTTTACTTACTGTTTGAACTTTTCTTTTGAGGTGTAAAATGATTTTTTTTGACTTGTAGTTTGAAATTACCTTTGAGAGAGGATTGCTGGCGCTAAGTTGTTGTCTGTACTGTTAGCGGGTTGACTAGCATTTGGTGATAATGACGTTAATAATATCGTAGTGAACAACAACACGTACCCTGAACCTGAATGTCCACAGAGTCGTAGTTGTCCTCGATGCCGTGCAGCACCTCGCATCGGTACGTTCCCGAGTCTTTGGACCGCAGCTCTGTGATCTCCATGGTGGCGTCGGTGGCCACCAGCGGGTAGTTGATCATCGTCACTCTGTCCAGATACTCCGTCTCCACCTGGACTTTCCCCTCGGACGCCACCAGGATCGTGGTGACTTTCTCCTTGGAGACATAGCTCCATTTGATGCGGTGTGAGAGCAGGGTCACGGCGCGGACCCCGGGGTCATTCACTGTGTTGTCCTGGAAGTAACAGGGTACGACCACCTTGCTGCCCAGCAGAGGACGCAGAGGCATCTCCAAGGGGATGCTGACACGCATCGTGCCGTCCATGTCTACGGATGAGATCATTTATTAGTCTTTATTAGTATTTTGTTTATACTCGTTTTATTGTTATTTTTGTAAACATTCACACATAACTTACATACATGCAACATACACCCACATACATACTCAAATGTGTGCAGAATGGTTACTGCACATATACAATAACAATAATCTCACCTTAATCATGTGGCAAGATATCTATGTAATATAGCTTATATACCAATTACTTAAATACAAGCACCGAGAGAAAATTAATAAGAAGAATACATTATAATCATAATGGCCTGAGGTGTGGCTTCATTACAATGAGAAACATCAAATAGAAGGGAAATAAATATAAATAAATATATATATATACTAAGTAATAATAATAATAATAACGAATAAATGGGGGGGAGGGATGCCATACATTGCTGTCTCTTTTTTTCATTTGTTAGTCTTTTAATTTGCTTATGAGGATACTAATATAAAGTACAGAAAGTATCGGGTTGTGCTCAAGAAAATGTGTACAAGAAGGAGCTGGTTTATCGAGGGTTAAACGTGATCTACCAAATAAGCAACAGCTGATCCATAACACATTTTAAAGGACTACTTATTACGACTTTGCTCTAACATTGCTCGTGACTTTTTCTGGTAATATTGCTGGTAAATTAGTTTGAAAATAACTTGAAAAAAAAGAGTTGAAATGAGGCAAACCCATTTTAAACCGTAGGTCGAACAGGAAATAAACAGATTCAAAATGTGACTTTTCTGACGTCAGCAGCATACTTCATCAAATTGTAATCAAATGGTAGATTTCACAGATTTAAATAAATAACTGACATTTTATAATACAGTTTTATGTACATTTCTAACCTTCTTCAAATCAAGTTCCCAAAACTCTAGAGTTAGACATTGATGATATAGATAAGGATAGTAATCTAAGGATCTAATAAAACATCACTTACCGTCATGGTTTTCAAGCTGTAACGCTACAGTTGCCGAGATGAAGGGCAAGGACACACACAGCAGAAGCAGGGGGGTCATCGTTACCTGAAAGATACCAACATTTGACGACACATGAGTCACATTTGCACAGAGAACATAATTATTCAGACCTTCAGAGCTCAAATGTACTCAAAGCCATTCAAAGCCAGTTTGTTTGATATTTGTCCTTTTTGGATCACTTACTGAGTGATTGGCTTGATTTGCATAAATGGAAGACTAAACAGAGTATATTAAGGGAATTAAAACTAATGCAACCTTTTCTAACTTCTCTTTACCAGAAAGGCTGCACTGAGCGAACAGTGAAGTTAGTGTTGTGTTGGGGTAGGTTCATCCTCATTTCCTCTGCCCCTGAATGCCACTGTGTGTTTTTTTCCCCCTAACTCATATTCCATTTTGTCTGACATACTCAATGCGTTTGGTTATTACGTCAGACCCATTGGCTAAAATGGAAAGCGGATGTCATGACTCTGTAGTATCGTTTGGAAATGCTTTACATGCTCACTGAGGAATGAAAGCCCCTCTGTTACAGCCAACTTTCTTTAGTCATACAACTCAGTTTAAGCTGAGTCATTCATTTCAAATGCCTTTCCATTTGTTCAAAACCAATGAAGAAACACATTTTAAATTAGGCTTTTTTTCCAACTTCATTCTTTGTGTGTTTGTTTGTATTAACCCATCACTGTACCCTGTGTGCCAGGGCAGGTTTGCCTTCAGAGGCTCAGTCACTGGTACATTTTTATATACAAAGCCATGTTAGGGAAACTTCCACCCTTCCATCCCTGATCTCACGGCGAATTGTAAGTGGCTACTGCCTAGGGCTGCTCGATTATGGCAAAAATCATAATCTCGATTTATTTGGGTCAATAATTGTAATTGCGATTATTAAATGTGATTATTCATTGACTTTGAAAACATCCATTTATTGCAGAAAAAAATGTGAACAGTGTGTTTTTAACAGTTGATTACCCTGAACTTTAAGTATAATTCAACTGAAAAACCAAAAAAAAAAAAAACATTATTTAAAAAAAAGAAAAAAGTAATAATAAATCGTTTTTTTTCGATTACGTTGTTTTCGTAATCGTTGCAAGCCATAATCGTAATCGCGATTAAAATACGATTAATTGAGCAGCCCTACTTCTGCCTGAGATCGCATGCTGTGCTTTTATTAAATGTGCCAACTGCTAGGACTGTCTTAGGGAAGATAGCTGTTAGATGCGCAGCTTCTCTGTCTTGGAACAGTCTGCAAATTAAATGGAAACTGAGAAATCTGGTGCCACTAAATGTTTTTAAAGCTTGGTTGGATGCTACTCAATCGGATGCTGTTGGTACCTGTTCATGTGGATAGTTATGTAAATTGTAATCCCTGTAATGATGCTGTAAGATGTCCTTTTTGTTGTTCTGTTGTTTTATGTTTCATGTGGAACCTACTTGAGCAGGCATCCCTCGAAAAAGAGATCAATGATCTCAATGGGATTCACCTGGATAAATAAAGGTTTGAAATGAAATGAAATTTGTCTGTTTGCATAAAGTGTCTTTTTGGTTGTAAACTAGAAAAATAATACATCGTCTTGCCAACATGCATTTTTCTTGCAATCCAATGAGCCATGCACATTTCCCACAAGAAATCTAATATAAAGTTCAAATGTTTATGTCCTTTTATTCAATTCTTGTCAAGCTATGGGAGAAGCATGGTTGATGACAAATTGGGTTGGTCCACTCCTGTACTGCAGACTCAAATCTTCTTAATTTGCCCTTTTTTGCTTTGTCTGTCTTTATTGATCTTCTGAATGTTTTCATCTCGTGCCAACAGGAGGTGGGAATATAGGATTTTTAGGGAAATGTTGATAGATTGACATGATAAGTTTGCACATTCATGTTCCCGTCAGGATGAATTCAAACAACTTTGATGACCCTGTCATGACTAAATTCCTGCCAAACTGACGACATCCCCACTATATCATTATGGTAATTATTGCAAGCGAAACTAAGATGGTGAACATCTTAAAGCATAACAGTTGCTAATCTTCAGTTTGTTGGCATTGTCATTGCTGACATTACTATCTAGCTCAAAGCTCCGCCGACTGCATAACATTTTTGTCTTGCTTCTCCGTTTACAATTCTTTTTTCATTTCATCTATTTATACGGTCACTCGGTCATGTTTGAGCATAAATATCATTCAATATCCTGAACTTCAGTCTAAAAACATGGCCTCCGCTATCACAAACCCTCATCTGTGAAACCCTGATTACCGCTTGCTTTTTTTTCCTCAGTTTTCCGTTACTGCCCGGTGCAGCGCAGTCCAAGAGTACCAAACCGTTCAGAGTCCCAACTGAACCCTCATTGTGCTGCGTTCACGAGCCTCAAACTGCCACACAGAAACATTTACAACCAATAAAACCTGGAGCCAAGAGTCACAAAGCGTTTGCAGTAGCTGACGGTTGAGATCATGGCAAAAAGGCTAAAAGAGAAATTCATTGACCTTTTGAATTCTATGACTCGGCATTAAAAACAAGATCATATGTATTCAATGTAACACATCTGCAGACATTACTGTATATGTATGTATACTACAACCTGAAGAAGTGTGTGTGTGTGTGTGTGTGTGTGTGTGTGTGTGTGTGTGTGTGTGTGTGTGTGTGTGTGTGTGTGTGTGTGTGTGTGTGTGAGAAAGAGTGTGTGTGTGCTGCTAGCATTCTCAGAGTTCCACAGTTCCCGTACAGTAAGACTAATATTTGCCCCGTTGTCTCAGATTGGTCTGAGAGGGAATGTTTGCTTAGTTTGAGAGGAAACACAAAATACCTCACAGCATACGTAGACATACAGACAGCCTGAAGTAGTCACTCACTGTTATATATTTCATTATAGGATGTGCCGACCAGCCCAGGAACATCTTCACAATGACTTAATGTAACTGATGTTGTGTTGTTTTTAGGTAATACTATTTTACTTTTATAACTTATTTTGGTTTATTCCTTTGTATTGGACTATTCTATTTTTTCAACAGATCACTTTCCATCAAGAACCTCCCATGCAGTGAGGTAGAAGTGTACTTCAAGGTGTGTCAGTACAACATGGCGTCACTGGTGGGTGTGGTTACAAATGTTCTGGATACATCTAATCAAACCCATCATGTTCGTAAAACCAACCGAACTCACTCCAAACTCAGTAAAGCTTGGTCAAACGCTATGACACTCTACCCTGTGGGGGCAGTTTTGGACGTACAGTTTCCCATAAGGCGCGTTCACACCAAGTACTTTCCCACAAAGGTTCCTGAGAACTACGATTTAGTTGCGTTCACACCAAAAAGTCCCAGGAACTAAATTAGTTCTAGAGAACCTTTTTTACCCCCTTTTCAGTCCCTGCTAGAGAGCAGGGACTTTCGTGGGAGAAAAAGGTTCCTGTGTCTGATTGGCTGGGCGGAATGCAAACCACGCCCCGTCAAACTCCCAAAAACGTTTGTGAAGCCGCCATTTTATTTGCATTATTAGCATTAGCATTAGCCCAGCGCAGAAACGCAGAGAGACTAACTTATGTCCACACAAAATAAAACATGG